TGCAGCTGACCATTGGAAAGGAATGTGCGTGGTGGAATGTAAGGCGTACGCGGGGCGGCGAGTTCATCATCCAGAGCGCCCAGCGCATGAGCGAGGCCACCTTGGCCGGGTCGTCGGAGAAGCCGGGCAGGGGCGAGGGGAAGGCGGCGAGCACCGTGGAGGCGCTGTGGCGCAGCGGAGTCGATGTCGTCCCACAGGGTCAGCACCAGCGCCGCCGTACTCACGGGCGCGTAGGCATCCCACGACGATAGCTTGCCGTAGAGTCGCCCCGGCGCTGCCGCCGCGCTATGATCCGTGCGGACCCGACGACGCGCCTCCGGTGGGTGGGATGTGGTGGCGACCAATGTGGGAGGTGGCGTCGACGACGAGCTGCAGTTGTTGTAAGCGGCCGAGACGGTGAAGCTGCCGCGCCCCATGTCACGTTGAGGACGTTGTTGTTGACACGTTATTCTCGGTCGGCCAAGAGCGACGAGTTGGCGGCCGTCGCTCTCCTTCTGCTGCATGCCCTCTTTCATCGCCGCGCCGCGGTGACCGCACCAATGTCCATCTGTGCACCGATGAAAACAGTTCAGCTCAGTTCAGTGGTTCGAGCGTCGCCGTCTGCGGTGTGGAGCGTTACCCGAATGGCCGCGAACTCGACCTGCGAGGGCGCAAAGTGGCGCGCGCCGGCGGCTCGCAGACGATCGAGCCGGCCCACGCCCGAGGCTGCCAGGCGCGACAAGTCCTGTCGTGTTGTGTCGACCACACAACAATATAGCGCACTCGTGCGTCAGCTGCAAAAAGAACGAAACGAAAGAAGACTGCGGGACCGCGAGAGGTAACATACCTGTGCGCACCTTCTCGTTCTTGCAGTCGTCCGGCGTGAGCTTGGTGTGCAGGTGCAGGAAGTCGAGCAGGTAGGGGGCCGAGCGCGCGCGAAGGGTTGAACAGACCGCAGAAAATCGAGATCAGCTCCAGTCCCTTCACTTGGCTCGCCCTGTGGTGTGTGCGCGTCGTCGGTTGGCCGTCAGCGAAAGTAGGGGGGGGGGAAATTGGCTGCAGCTGATGACGGAAAGAGTTGATTAAGAGGGGGGGGGGCGTACGGCTTGGGGTTCTTGTTGGTCTACCGGAGCATCTGGCAAAAGATCATGTTGGGCCTGTCGATGCCGGGCTGACAGATCTTGGTCATCAACTATGTGGGATTGAATTACACGCACACGAAAAGACAATACAATGTGAGCCCCCCCAACGTGTGTGTGTGTGTGTGTTGTGTGTGTGTGTGTG